AACCATTCTCAGTACAACCTAACACAATAGCTCTTTGTCAATTTATTTATTATCTCACCCACTTTATCATCATCTTCCTAAAAAAAATATTACTATTTTACAGAAATTGTGCGTATTTGAGAAGAAATCCATAAATATAAAAATACTAATAATTATAATAATAGTAATAGTGCGACAATTTTTACCGACCATGGTGACTTTTTTTTTTCATCATACTTTGTAAATTGAAGACTACAATGTGTATTTCTTGAACATGTGATGGTTTTGTGAACTTTGAAATGGTCATTGATCGCGTGGGACGAATATTTGATATGTGGAAATCATTGAAAATTCAACAGTCAAATCCTATGGCAACTTCAAGGGGAAAAAAAAAATGGACTAATTACAATAGTCTCAGGTGTATGCTGTATCCCACAATCTTCTAAAAATTGGAAGCCAATGGACTATTTCTCTTTCAATGATAGAGAAACAATGGTTCAGCATATAGTGCCTACTTTTACGGACCAAAATGTTCAACGGCCTATATCTAATGTTATTCCTAGTGATTGATTACACGAGACTAAACACAAATTTATTATTCATGTTTTTCATCATCTTCCTAGAGCTATCTTGATAGTGATAAGTTTTTTTTTTTTGATCCTTTCATACATCCAATAATTACTATATATTTTTGCCACCNACTAAACACAAATTTATTATTCATGTTTTTCATCATCTTCCTAGAGCTATCTTGATAGTGATAAGTTTTTTTATTTTGATCCTTTCATACATCCAATAATTACTATATATTTTTGCCACCGACGTAATGACCCACAATTTATATGCATATAATGAATCAAATTTTTTTTTGTTCAACAGTGAAGAGATATTCGGACATGAATGACCAAATCGATAAGTAAATTAATTAAAACTTAAGTAAATTGATTCAGACATTCCAATTGTTAAAAAATAATACAAGTAATAACAATGATTAGTACGCTACAATTTTGACCAATCTAGTGGGCAACTGTGGTTACTTTTCTTCATAATACCTTCTAAATTGAAGACCAGAATGTGTATTTCTTGGCATGTGATGTTTTCGGTAACTTAAATGGACCTTGAACTTTGAAATGGTCTTTGTACGCTTGGGACGAACATCCCATCTGTTGAAATCATTGAAAAACGGGAGTCAAATCCAANTATTTCTTGGCATGTGATGTTTTCGGTAACTTAAATGGACCTTGAACTTTGAAATGGCCTTTGTACGCTTGGGACGAACATCCCATCTGTTGAAATCATTGAAAAACGGGAGTCAAATCCATTGATAACTTGGAGGAAAAAAGAAAAGAAAGAGTAAGGACTAATTTGAGGGATACTTCCGAATATATTATTCAATACTTCTTTTGGTACGATATATGAATAAAATTATAAAAAATTAAAAAGATATATAAAATATTATGTTTGATAAGAAAGAAAAATAAAAATGATAGAAAAGTAGATGGATTAATTTTCCTTTCAATTCACCAATACCAATTTTTTTTTAAAATTTAGAGGAAAAGNTATAAAAAATTAAAAAGATATATAAAATATTATGTTTGATAAGAAAGAAAAATAAAAATGATAGAAAAATAGATGGATTAACTTTCCTTTCAATTCACTAATATCAATTTTTTTTTTAAATTTAGAGGAAAAATGGATTAAAAGTTAATTATGTGTACTAAAATATATGTTATTTGTATATATATTCTTTGATATATACATTTATCATATTTATAAATTTCATATTATATATATATATATATATATTAATTTAATATATATAGATAAAATGCTCATTTTTTAAAAAAACATACTTTTTCCATTTTTTCAACACACAAAAACAAAAAATCAATCTTTCTTACTTTCCATTATTCATAACATGACTCCTCAAATATCCTTCTTTTTTGGGTCATGTGAATAACAAGACATTTAATTCTATCAAAAATGTAGATGTCCCTGAACTTGAAAACCCAAAAACTCAGTTCTTCACTGTCTTCATTACTAAATTAAGACAGTTAAAATCTCAAGATCTAAAACCACACAGAATGCCTATAGTAGAAAATGCAATTACAATTAACATTGTAATTTTGTCGCAGATATCAAAATATCAGTTGAAAAAATCATAGACAAATCCTTGATCACTCGGAGATAAACCAAATCCAAATGATTCCAACCTACTCAAAACTAAAAGAGATGCCGCCTACTACTAAAATCCCAACTTTTGCAACAGTTGCGAATATGAGCTCTAAATGGACGACAGCAAAAGATTAATGGGAATTTTTGGGGCTCAAAATTTGATTTGTCATTCCATTCTTCATGACATGATAAGCAACCAATCTAGTTTCATTCCATTTTTGTCCCACAATTGCTAGGAGTAGTGGGGAATTATTTGCGTACACTAATGCTTCATAACTGCAGTCAGGGGCGGAACTCCCTAAGTGAGAGTAGTCGTGAGGTCGTAATTATGAGAATTGAGCTATTCTTTAGAAACTCTCATGAGAATCAAGAGCAAGTGCATGATCATTAAACGCACTGACTCGCAAATCTTGACCAATATCGATACCGTGTGTGTGATAGTTGAACTCTAAATCAAAAGGTCTAATCCAAGCCTTTGATTACTATGATTCTTTAAGGAAAGACTGTCAACACTAAGTGAGATTCAAGTCCGGAAAACACCTACAATTATTGCACAGTATTATAGTTGTCCTAATTTTTCTATGATCATTTTATGCTTATATATGTATATATGTATAAAATTATATTTAACATTAATATTCAAAATTTTAAAACTTGTGGGGAATTGTTGAAAAAAAAAAATAAAAGCTTTAAAATTTCTCATTTAAATTATTTTATATGTTTTAATGGATCACTTTAATTTAAGATTTAACTGAATTTTTATATGATTTAATTGAGTAATTATATTTTGTTTTAATTGGGCATTTGAATGCCTTTATGTGGTGGAGGTTACTAGATGGTGGACTTTAAAAGTCTCTAATGGCTAGCATTCTCAAGCATATATAAAAGGAGCTCATATGATCTAATGAATATATATGTTTTGTAGTATGTATCATTTTTTCATATATATTTTAGATGTGTCTTCTAATTATGTTTTTGGGCAACTTCGATTCGAGTTAGATTCACCCCTTCTTTTCGGTGGGCGTGACCATTAAAGAGATACTACTGCGAGTGTTTGGGTTTGATCTTGAAGTCGCTAGTGTCCGTCACTATCCTCATGCGGGGAGACTCAGCTGCCTTAGGACAGTGTTCACACGACTCTCGGACTCGCAGACCAGCTCTTTCTAATTTGTAGTCTCTATTTTATTCTATTTCAAGTTCATTGTTATTTTGTGTTTATTTATGTGATATTGATATTAATTTAATAATTGAAATTATGTATAATTATGTTAATTTTTCCTAATAAGACCTTCTTTGATACCATGAAAAAGTTTGGGATTAAAGGAGATCAAAGATAAATAAAATTAAAAGAAAACATCTTATAGGCTACGTAGATGTATTATTGAAGGTGACTAATTACATAAGATTCAATCTTATTTATAGGGTGAGGATTATATATGATAAAAACACATACACATATGACTATCATCATCGATGTCTATTTGTATAATATGATATCGATAGGTTTCTTTGGATCTTATTATATATCTACCTATATTAGATAAAACTTTTTGATTTGTCATATTTCTAATATATTTAACATATTATCAGAAGAAGAAATCATGTATTAAAATCTCACCGTTACATTAATTATTAAAAAAAAATTACGTGTTAGACTTGAAATTTAGCTTGCACGTGAGAAAATTTGTTAAAAATAAATATTTAAATTACACCCTCTATAATAATTTTAATGTTTGGACGAGATGATTATTTAACAATTTTAATCATTCAATTTTCCATCATTAAATTATAAAAAATAGTTCCCTCTGATTACAATTTCTCACATAATAACTTATTTTTCGTCCCTCCTTCACGTTAAAAGTTGGTACATGCACTTGCTTGTGGGTGCATCTTTGCAGTTATATGTTTTTGTTTCCATTGTAGTTTCTAGTTGCTTGTTGGGAAGGGTTTTGAAAGAAATGTAGTGCCAACAGCATGCCTGTAAAGGGTACAACAAAGCAATCTGTTGAGCCAAATAATCAAAAAAACAGGTAACTTAGACACCAATTGGTAGCATTTCATACGAAAATATTTTGCTTTTGAGTGGTAGAATTACTTTGAACACTAGATTCCTCATATTCATATCTAAACACAATGGATGAAACAAAAAAGTTGTCTATATTGTTCCACAATATTTTTTCTCCAGATTGTCAAATGATGGAGAAAGGAAAAACATGCATTTTGAAGACACAACATCAGCTGCTGAAGCATTTGCTGAGTGTGTAAAAAAAGCAATTGCTGCTGCAGAAGCTGCTGCCTATATGACGGGTAAAGGCTCTTATCAGGTCATTCAAGAATCTGGTAATTGTAATTGCGTGATTAGGTATGAATTTGAGAACAATTGTGGCAATTCTACTGGCAAGTTTATGCCATATGGGTTCCAAGAAAACCACCAAATTCTGGACGATCAATCTAAGGTCCCAAGGAGGATTAAGAGACAAAGCCTTGGATGCCATATGTTCTATAATGGACAAACCACTAGTGGTCTACTAGTTTCTACAACCAATATCTAGAATATCACTTGCGTGGGATCAAGGTTTTTGAAAGATTTTGTTGACCTGTGTGAGAAATGAATGCAGTTGTTAAATGTTAGAGCTGGTACTGACGACAAACCAAATAAGGGAAAGTTCTATGTAGCATTTGGTTTGCATGGCTTGCTTTTTGTCATTTTCTTGTAGGAGGTTTCACAAATTTCAATCAATGAGGTTAAAACGACAGGTGGTGCATGTTACTTGGAATTGAAATTACCATCTTGATCAAGATTTCAAGAAGGCTTCGGGATTTTTTGGCAAAGTATGGTTTTCAATATGGTTCTAATTACAGTCGGCCTTTACTTCCTTCTAAGGTTGGCTTCTTGCTTTTATTTTCAATTCATCTATGGTAATTGGTAGTTTATATTGGCATGTGATCATGCCTTGCAATTTATTCATGGTGGTTAACCTTTTCTTTTCTTTTCTTTGCATCTCCCTAGCAAAATGTATTTTTTGGCCCCGGTGGTGGGGCTGAAAACTAGAGCAAGCTTGTTTCTCTTGACCTGGGAAACAACTTTTTTTTGGGCTATTGTGAATTAATTAACCCAATGCTGGAAATCCATGGAGCAAATTAGAAATAAGTGATTTCTAGAATGTTTAAACTTCACATGGTAAAGCTAAGATGCCCAACTTGTTATGAGTTATGGTATGTGGGATAAAGTACTTTTGCTAAGTGTCAGTGTGTTTCTAGGTTTTAGTACATTTGTCACTAATTATAGAGAGCTTCTTTAAATCATCCAGTGAGATGAGATATGGTGATTTTTTGTTACATTTTTTTGTGCTGAGTTTCTATTTGTTTATTTTATCGTTTTGCAGCCTATCTCAAATCAGAAAATCCACTGGAGATTTATGGAAGGTCTCCCTCCCTAACAGGTAAAAAATTGTTTGATAGATACACATAACATGAATAAACAAGGACAAACTAGTTGTGTTATCTACTTAACTTTGTTAGGATCAGTGAGTAAATTTCATTTCCTCCCTTTAACAATGTAAGCACACGATTACAACACAACACTTTGTACTTCTTGCTACTGCCACCTTATTCTTCCCTGCTTATAAGCTAGTGCCACCTTATGTTGCTATAAGCAGGAGGAATGCAACATGGAGGTTGCCAAAAGTAGCTATAATTCCTAACTTCAATCTCCCAATGCGTAGTTTTGAAGTTAGCATCCCCTACTGTTAAAAACAGGTAAGCTAGCATCCCCTACTTTCTCTTTTTCCACTTTGAATCTTTTGTATTTTGGTGTTTACATTTAAGAAAACAAATTAGGCTGGTTGATTTAAATTTTACTTTTTGGAGTGGGTAAATTATTAATCCTCGATGCACATTAAATCCAGATAAAATACTGAGATCAATAGATTTTTTGAACTAGTTATAGATCTAAAAAATGTTATCATCTCATTTAGGGATAGAATCTGTTAAACATGGCTATGGCTGTGGTTAACTGTGGCGTGTTCTAAAATTACATGTTCTGTTTTGAAAGCTTGAGCACCTCTGTTTTTCTTCTATATGCAGGACTTCTATAGTGGACATAAAGTCTCTTAGATTGATAACTGCCATCAAAACCCCGTATCTACCAGATGGGAGATTTGATCTCGAGGCATATGATGCCTTGGTGAACATGCAGATTGAAAATGGAGCTGAAGGAGTGATCGTCGGTGGCACTACTGGTGAAGGCTAGTTGATGAGCTGGGATGAACACATCATGCTAATTGGTCACACAGTTAACTGTTTTGGTGGATCTATCAAGGTCATTGGAAACACGGGAAATCCAAAAGTTTGTGGAAAACCCTATCGGAGGGCACTTGGAGTGAGGCATTTGATGATCTAGGGATATTTTAAATGTAATTAGGGATAGTTTAAATCCTCTTGAAAGATTAAAGCCATTTTTTCTATTTTTAGAATTTCATGTTCTTTAATTCTTATAATTCACTGTTTTTGGAAATAAAATTTTATTTTTTTTAAAAAAGATGTGAAATGTATTAATTGTGTTAGTTTTTTATTGAATACATGTATTATTGGTGTACAGGTGAAAATTTTTATTGGAATATCATTTTTTATGAATTATTCTTTTTAAAAAAAAAAACTTTTTTGCAACGAAATTAAAATCGTCGTGCAACATTGTTATTAAATTATTTTTTACATTTTTATTTATGTAAAAAATTTTAGCGACGATTTTTTTACGTTGCGAAAAAATGAATTAAATTATTATTTTTTATATTTTTATTTATGTAAAAAATTATTCATGGCGATTTTTTTACATCGCAAAAAATTAATTAAATTATTATTTTTAATATTTTTATTTATGAAAAAAATTATTCATGACGAATTTTTTACTTCGCAAAAAATTAATTAAATTATTATTTTTTTTACGTTGGTGGAATATATTTTAGCGACGTTTTTTTTCGTCGCAATTTTTTTTTTTTTTTGCGATGAAAATAAATTTACGTTACAAAATACTTTCTGCGACGAGGTTATTTCGACGAACACGCGACGAAAAAAAAATGTCGCAAAAAATCATTTGTGACGATTTTTTTAATTTAGCGACGAAAAAAAAATCATCGCAAAACACGATTTTTGTTGTAATGCCTCTTTGGGCTCATGCAAGATGACCCAAGTGTCTTATCCATATAGCATTCACTAGGCTCGAACCGGACCACAGTCCAATTCCATAGAAACCCACAGTAACCCAATTCAGAATAGANAATTTTATTGAATTGAATAGCCCAGAAAAGACATTAGACGTGGCTTATATTTCCACAGTCAAACCAAACACGAGTCTATATAGGCAACAAGACAAAACTTTTCCAAAGCTTATACTTTTTAAATNTCCAATTCCATAGAAACCCACAGTAACCCAATTCAGAATAGATGGCAGCACGACATCAGTAAGCCTGATACAAAAACCCACTCGAGAGTTGGGAGTTCGACAATAGGCTATGCACTAATGGTCGTATCGCGACATGTGGACAGGGTACCAAAGGACAGTGCCTGACAATCTTAACGAACGAATATCCACCAGTAGTGGAGATGTCTCATGTATTTCATTCAAAGCGTAATGGGCGCAAGAAAGCATCAAGGATGACAAACCCAACAATAGGACAAACAAGGAGAGGACAATAAATTCAGCCAGGAAAAGAATTATCACGAAACCCTAACGATGAGATGTATAAATAGCAAACGATGTCACCGTGTAATTAGATATGAAAAAAAGATTACCTAGCAGTAACCTGTGAACTATTCTGTAAAAGGCTTCTAGCTAAATACCTTGTAATAACAATTTTCTCCCTCAAGCAATACAACTCCCAAGGGGCAAAAACTTTTATTACAGTGGATGTAACCTTAATTCTTCGATTGAGGTGATCCACTCATATTATTGTTTTAGTCTCACCTTCAACACTTAACATGCTTTCTGTCACATAGACACATTCTCAATCCATTTGGACCACACCCCAAATTGTCCTACAATTAGGTTAGTTAATATTGAGCACCATCAACTTCGAATAGGATTTCAATTGCGTGGGAATTGACCCACGTGAGTTGGGACCCTGTAAACCATGAAAGCTCTTTCCAAAATTGGCTTTTATTTCTTTTGGGTAATCAGTAAACTTATTCTTTTACCTGCTGCACCACCATCTTTGGAAAGTTTGCAGTTTGACTTAAGTTTTGTGTATTGTTGGAAAAACTAAAATAAAGAAGAAAAAGAAATGGGATAGTTTCTACCAATGGTGTTAGAGCCATATGTAAGCCATCAAACCATGGTGAATTTTTCCCACCCTCTTATGCAAACTGAACTGCATAATATGTATTAATTGACAATTAAAGGTTTCATGAAAACTGGAAATGGTCTCAGTGGGAACATTTTGACTCAGTGTGTGTCATCCTTCCACCAGTCCATCTTTATCTTTTTTATATCGTTCTAATTTTATTGAATTGAATAGCCCAGAAAAGACATTAGACGTGGCTTATATTTCCACACTCAAACCAAACACGAGTCTATATAGGCAACAAGACAAAACTTTTCCAAAGCTTATACTTTTTAAACGCATTTTAAACCTCACAATAAATCTATCTATCTATATATATATAGAACTGCAATTCTATTCCAATGACGACACCAAGTCATTGTTACATGTGGGACTTTGGGTAACTCATGTTTGAACCTCTTAAAAAAAGACAAATTCGACATACTAGTCGAAGAATTTTGGGAAAAAGGGTACCAATAATGGTTCGACATATTATAGACCGTTCAAACTATTCTATAAAGGTCAAAAGTTGATTTCGCATTCAATGAAATGATAAAACATCCCCTTTGGCTTAACATAATAGTATAAAACGTGTTGCCATTGAACCATAAGCATAGTTGTTTGATGGTGTGAACCCGCGTAGACGAGCGGAGAGAATGTATGGCTTCCGGTGACCTAGAGCTGAGCTACAAGGCTCATGAAAACTGAGTAGAAATTATTGGGGAATTGGGGGAGATTGCACAATGATATTATAGTGGTTCACCGGCCCAAGAACTCGGCTAGTCTACTCTTGAATGAATTTTCTTATTTCTCTTCTTTCAGAAGTGGGGAATGTAGTTTTTTTTTCATCCTCAGGCCTTCCTAGGGTTATGTATATCTTTTACTAGAGGCATCATACAATATTTATAGAGCTNGGTTCACCGGCCCGAGAACTCGGCTAGTCTACTCTTGAATGAATTTTCTTATTTCTCATCTTTCAGAAGTGGGGAATGTAGTTTTTTTTTCATCCTCTGGCCTTCCTAGGGTTACGTATATCTTTTACTAGAGGCATCATACAATATTTATAGAGCTGCTCCTAGTTCTGTGGGATTTGCCCCAAAATCCATGCCACTTATTTGGGGGATCCTCGATTTTTGGGAGAGGATCTTGGCTATTTTGGGGTTATTTGCCTTGGATACGATTCTTTGCTACCTATAGGGTTTCTGCTAATATCCAGTTGTTCTTTCTGCTTTTCCGCTATTGCCTTGCCTGGGGGAGCTCTAGCTCTGACCCTCTGAGCTCTACGTGACCTGTTTGGTCTCTTTGCTCGATCTCATACTTATAAGTTTTTTTTTTTCACGGTATCATCAGTTGCCCCCCAGCTCTTGGTCAAGCTGGCTTGGGCAAGGGCTGAGCTCAAACTTAGGTAGATTGGACCTTTATTAGGCGTCCTCAATATCCGTGTGAACATAATTTTGGCGGTTCTCATCAATCATTTATCTCCTCGTTTCTTGTGCGCACTGTCCATTTTGAATCCCTCAGTACCGTTATCTTTAAATACTCTCAGACTGACTGACTTCTCTTCGCTCTTCGACTTCTCTCTGCCCTCTTTCTCCCTTTGTTTCCTTGCGATTTCTTCTTCCCCGATTTGATTAGGATTTTTCATGGAGACGATTTCCCCCAGTTTGGTTTGAAGGCTTGTTTTTAGATTTTGTTCTCGAGCTTTAGGGCATCGTTGATCTTCGTCTAGGTACGTCTTTCCTCTTTTTTGCAGTTCCTTGTTCTGCATCCCTCAAATCTGAGGTGGTTATTGTATTTTTGGACCTTTCGGTTTTGCTATTTTAGGAATCAAAATCTTTCTTTATCTCGCATTCCCCTCTTCTTAGACCCTTATTCTACGGCTAGGATTTTCGTTATAGGTCGTTGGTGTTTTACCCCCTGACTCTTAGAGAGTGTTTCTCAAAGGTTCCCCCACTTTACAGGTCTTTTAGGCTTCTTTTTTCTAACCCAGTTATGTCCACTTCGTCTGAGGCCACTGGCTCGTCGATTTCTTTGATGAAGGATAGATTTGTCGAGGTGAATTCTGATCTGGGAGAGGTGGGTCAAGAAATTGACAACTTTCCCAGGGTGGATTCCGCTAAAGTCGGAGATGGTTCTGAGGACCCTCCTTTATCATCTTTTCCAGCTCCCAAAGCCCCCAACAAGGGCAAAACCAAAGTGAGTGGTGTTGGGGTTTCTGGGAATACTGAAGGTCTGTCTTGCTCCTAGGGCTGTTGAGCTCGTGGGCCCTGGTGACCTCGTTCCTTCTTACTTGAAGGTTTTAGCAGGTTATTTTGGTTTTCCCCAAGGTGTGTAGTTCTAGAGTCCTAACATGTACAATCGATACAACTCTTACATTCCCAAGAAAACCTGTTTCTTTATGGCCGCCTTTGAGAATAACTTCCGTTTTCCCATGCATCCCTTTATCAAAGGTGTATTGCAACATTTCAATGTTTGCCCAACTCAGCTCTCTCCTAATTTCTGGGGTGTGCTGGTGGGCCTCCTTGTTTTCTTCAAAAAGAACGATCTTGGGGTCCCTAGTGTTCCTTTGCTCATGAATTTTTTCAATGTCAAGTACACTCCTTCTGACGATTTTCTGTACATCTCCAAGCACGTGAAAACCAAAGTTCTTATTTCTGNTCTCTCCTAATTTCTGGGGTGTGCTGGTGGGCCTCCTTGTTTTCTTCAAAAAGAACGGTCTTGGGGTCCCTAGTGTTCCTTTGCTCATGAATTTTTTCAATGTCAAGTACACTCCTTTTGACGATTTTCTGTACATCTCCAAGCACGTGAAAACCAAAGTTCTTATTTCTAACCTCCAGAGCTCCCACAAAAGTTGGAAGAAACTATTCTTTTTCGTGTGGGGGAGAGACTATGAGTTTAACTCCACCGATGTGACTGATACTCTTCCAATTCCTCG